AAGAAAAAAAGCATTACCCATTTTGGTCAATGGCTAATTTTGCATATCGTTTATATATTTATGTATTGTTTCTATGTCGTGACCCCCGCCCCCCTGCCTCTCTTCTGAGACGTCTCCCAACAATTATTGTGCGTTTGAATATTTATTTTGTGGGACAAAAGACAACACAAAAACGAAAGCATAAGCAAATACAGTAAATACAGTCTCGGATTGTACTCCTTTCTTTTCCAGGGGAAAAGGGCTTTCGTTTCCTTTTCTTTTTTTTCCCAGGAATCTGTTCTCCTGTTCTCCTCCCATTTGGTTTGGCATTTCCAATTCTCTCGAAGAACAGGTTGTAGCGGAAAATTGTGAAGCAAGAAAGAGCATCAACAGGCAAAGACGGAAACTACGCAGTCCGTTATTCTTCCCACTCGTATTTGCTGAGAGCGAAAGAGAGTCGTCTCAGTCGAGTGTGGCGCGGTAGAGCGAGAGAGAAATAGAAGGAAGATCGGAAAGGTGCGAGAATTGCTGCGAGAGAGAGAGTGCAGTGCAGTGCAGTACAGTAGATAAAGGACGCTGCTGGTACAGGAGAAAAGTCATTGGGGGAGCCCAAAAAGGGCTTTGATTTCCCAGGAATTCTCTTAATTGGCTTGGCATATCCCCCCCACCCCCCCTCTGTGCAATCATACCGCTCGGAACACACATCATTTCAAAGATTCAAACGAAATGCAATCGTTGTATCGGTTGTAATTGAGATTCCCCCTGCATTGGCATTAGTTTTTCGTGGAAGAGTTTTTTTTATGGATGGATTGCTTTTCTCATGAAAAGCACCTACTCTTTCGTGCAATTTTCATTGGAAAATTAGCGAGATAGAATTAATAAATCCGTGGACATGGCACGGGATGGCGTGACATTTTCTTCGAAGTGTTGAAACAATCTTTATATTTCAATTTCGGTCTCGATAGGATTTCCAGGAAGCACGGCAGCAGCAGATGATTATAGTATCTAGATTCGTTTCGTTTCATGGAAAAACATATATGAGATATTGTATTAGATTGCAGATTGCAGACACACTCCATTCCATATTCTGGGAAACGAAGACCCAATCCCACCCACCCCACCCACTCCATGCTGTGGCTTTGGGTGTGGGTGTGGGAGTGGGTTTTCCCTTGAAACAGAGGCTCCCCTGCTGTTCAGCGGCACCTATTTTTAGCCACAGAGCCTTCCTTCTGTGCCATTTGCATCCTGTCTTCATCCTTATCCGCAGCATCCCCCACACGCAACACATATGTCCCCCAAAGGCAAAGCAGAGGATTTGGGGGCGTCTCAGATGAAGGAGAGTCATGCCCGGGCACGTTGCTCGGCCCACTCGAGGGATCCTCTAGGTTCTACGGGGTTGAAATCCGTCCCGGGTTCTCCTTCCAGCAGAGCCCACGCGACATTTCATTCAACTTTTCCGCACACAGGCACACTCAGACTTTTGACCCTCAAGGCAACAAGAAACAACAGCAGGCACAGCAGCAACAGCAGCAACAGCAGCAGTGTGTGTGGGTGCCACCTGCCACCTGCCACCTGCCTCCTGCCACCATCGCCCCTGTTCCTGTGATTGCTCGTTCCTGTTGCCATGTGCCCTGGACGTTTGTCAATTAAGTTTCTATATATACACGGAATGCCATATGCCATATGCAACCATGGGATACAACCGTGTGGGGGGGGGGGGGGGGGGGGGGGGGGAGGTGAGCGGAGTGGAGTCCACGAGTCACCGTCATCATCAGATTCTGATTATTGGGGCATTATTGTGGCCCCCCACCGTCCAATTGCGAACGTACTCGAAAATATTCATATTCGTATTCTCGTATCTGTATCTCTGACAGGCAGCCAGTCGTAGTCCTCCCTCGTCCTCGTCCTCGGCCTCGTCCTCAATTCAATTATAATTCTAATGTGTGGGATAGCCATAGAGCCATAGGGACAGCCGCTATAGTGGGCTGGATTCGGGGGGAGGATCGGGATGACCCTGAAATGTTGTCAGGCATCGCCTGGCATGCGACTGGAACAGACAGCAAGGGAAAGGAAGCAGCAGGAGGGAGCAGGAGACCCCAAGAAACTTAAAACGAAAATCTTGCTCAGATTTCTACATAAAAGGAACACTTTCGCTGCCACAGGAGGAGTCTTGTGTGCTGTGCTGTGTGTCATCCAATTAGAGAGAGAATCTCCACATTTTCCCCATTCACCCGATAGGCTCTCGTCTGCTGCTGTTGCCCGCTCTTGTCGCTTATTGGTTTTTGGTTGCAACATCCGCGGTGCATGGCAGGGGCGGCGTTCAGCTCAATTATGACTCATAATTCGCCGTGCCACTCGAGCAGCAGGCTATACCATTCAGACATCCGTTTCCTTTCATGTCCAATGCTATGCCATGCCCATGCAATATTTAGTTCTTTGGAAACCTTTTTTGGGGCACACGACGCACTCTTTGGCTCAAGGATGCCGCCTCCTCCTGCATCCCCAGGACTCGGGAACGGAGGATGGGCTGGTCTTGGCTATGCAAATTGGAAAACGAAGAAGCCAAGCAACGAGGCAGGAGTGCAGCAGTAGAAATGAATGAATGAGCCGAATGAATGTTTGCACTGCAGTAGAATGGCAATGGATGTGGCAATGGATGTGGCAATGGATATGGCAAGGGAATGGAATGCCCCGAATTCTCCGCCATTGCCTACTTTCAAGCGCCACCTTAAAGGGCAAACAAGTGCCTGCCTGCCCGCCCTCCGGCCCTCCCTCTCTTCATGCCACTCACCCACAGGTTGGGCGAGTCCCAAGTGGGGGGCTGGGGGTGGCATAACAGCCATAAAGCATCGACATCCAGTATTCTAGTATTTTCTATGGCATCCGCTATTAATATTTCTGGTATTTTCCCTAGTATTATATTTCCCCCTGCTCATTCTAGTATTTTCTCGAGTATTTTTCCCCTCGTATTGTATTCCAATTGTAATGAGGACATCTTTTAGTATTTGTTATAGTATTTTTCGATCTGGTATATCCAGTATTTGCTGTATAGTTTCCACTGTTTTCTGGTATTTTTAAAGGATTATTCTGGTATTATTCTAGGGTCTGAGTCTAGTAGGATTTTAGTGAGCACCTAGTACCAGGACATCCATTGTCTTTTCGGGTATATTTTCAAATATTATTTCTAGTACCATTACTATTAGTATTTTTCTGGTATCATTTCGGCACTCGTTATTCGTACCCGCACGGTTTGAGATACAGCAAGTGAGAAGGGCCTTACCTTCCATTAAATATACCTTGGAATCGGGGGACAAACAATGGAGCCCCCGTGGAAGGTGCCTAATGGAAAAATGCTGGCAATTAGAGCTTTAACGGGAATTTATTGAGCCACAGAGGGAGCGCGAGCGAGAGGGCCAGTGTTGTAAAATACTTATTAGCAGAAAAGCTGCAAATGCAGTTGCAAGTGCAACAAACGACCAAACGATGGAGAACTTTAATTAAAATTTCCCATGAACATGAAATGGTTTTCCTTCACGCACTCTCCCTTCTCCCCTCTCCGCTTTCCACCGTTTCCCGGCTTCCCGGCTTCCCGGCTTCCCGGCTTCCCGGCTTGCGTGTTCGTTTTTGTGTGTTTTTTGATTGTGATTTTGCGTTTAGTTAAAGTGCCCGCAAATGCACCAGCCCCCAGCACCTTCTCCCCGCAGTATTTACACATAGAGGCAGATGCAGGTCATGCAGATGGATAGATATCCCTTCGACACAAGCCTGGAAGCTGACATTCGATCGCAACCCACAGGATCGTTTCTACTTATAGCATTTAAGAACTGCAGGACTCCATCTATGTATCTGAAGGCTTCGTGGCTTGCCTCTAAACTGAAGGCAGGCGGTTGCCCCTTGTTGATTTTGGCTTTGCCCTGCTTTTCCTCTGCGCTTTGCCCCCGCCACACCCCACACACGCCGCCCATCTGCAACGATGGGGCACTGGGCCGCTGACCTTAATCTGGCTGTGGCTGTGGCTGTGGCTGCCGCTGCACTGTGCACTCTGCACTCTGCCTTTGGGCGGACGGAGAGGGGGATGGCCAATAAACCAAATGATGATGATGACACGGATACACAGAAAAAGCAAACAAACAGACGGAAAGTCGGACAGACGGACGGAGAGATTCTTCTTCCTTTGCAGCCTCGAGAGAAGAGAAGGAAAGGGGTTGGGGCTGGGGCGGAGGCTTCACTGTACTGTGTGTAGTACCTTTAAGTGAAGCCAAGTATTTATTCATTCCCCCGCTACCCCTCTTCTTGGCTCCCATCCGTTGCAATCGAAAAAAAAAAATGCCGCAATGAAATTGGTTCCCACAAAGTGGGTGAAGGTCTCTCTCTTTCTCTCCTTCCGTTCCTCTCTCTCTTGGTATCTCTGAGTGTCGCATTTTTCTTTTAGTTTCTGCTGCAGTCCACAACTTAATCATTGGGGCATGTGGCACGCAACTCTAGCCTTTCTGGCGCTCGCTCTGTCGCTGGCTCTGGCTCCTGTAATATGCGGCTCGTGTCGGTAACCAAATGCAGGGGTCTTGCCACTGATTCCCCGTGCTGTTTGTGTTTACTCTTGCTTGAAGCTCATCTCTGGTTCTAGTTCTGATGGGTTTTCCGTGGAAAAAGCTGCACACACTCCTACTCCTCCCACGTACACGCAACGCACACGCACACGTTGCCGTTGCCGTTGCCGTTGCTCAACACTCGTACACACGCACACGTTGTGCAACACTTGGAAATTCATGCGGAATCCGAAAGCAATCGAGGGGATTGAGGACTAGGGCGCAAGTGCATGAAGTTCCATGGAATTTCTCTGTAATATTCACGTAATTGTTGCCGCAGTAACAGTTACGGAAGGATTCTCCGAAGGGTTCCCCTCTTGCCATAAATTGGATGGGAGAAGGTCTTCCTATCTGTCTGTCGCTTGATTATTATTCTGGTGTAATACGCAACTAAATTCGTGTTTCTGTTTCCCCTTTCGTTTCGTTTGCGCACAGGGTGGCTATCCGGCGCGTCTGAAGAAAGTCCTGATCGTGACGGCGCCGCTGTGGTTCAAGGCCCCCTTCAAGATCCTGCGCCTGTTCGTGCGCGAGAAGCTGCGCGAACGAGTGTTCACTGTATCGGTGCCGCAGTTGGGCCTGCACGTGCCGCGCAAGGCGCTGCCCCTGCATCTGGGCGGCACGCTGGAAATCGATCACGCCACATGGTTGCTGAGTTGCCGCCAATCGATGACGAATCGTGAGGACGAACTGCTTGCCAATATCACAGTGGGCACAGTCACTGGAGTCACCGGAGTCGCTGGAGTTACCGGAGTCACTGGTGTCCCAGGTGCGGCAGCTGTGGCAGCAACCACCAATGGCAGTAGCAGTGGCAGTGGCAGTGGCACCGGCAGTGGAACTGCTGCTGCTGCTGCAGCTGCAACCATCATAAGCGCCGTCCATCAGCTGGCGGACAACAACACCACCGTGGTGACTGTCAGCAACGGTGAGGCCAGCAACGATGCCACCGCCACCTCTGGGGGCAGCATAGAGCCCAACGAGAACATCACAATCAATGGCCTCAGTCCAAGTCATCGCGGGAGCGGCAGTGCTGCCACTGGCGGCGGTGGCAGTGCTGCCCCTGGCAGCGGCGGCGGCACATCACCCCTCAAGCTCAACACCAGCGGCGTTCCCTTGGACGGCGGTGGCATCCCCAAAGCCGCCACCATAGGCTTGGGAGCCCCCACTGCGACAGGACCAGGAGCTGGCACTGTGGCAGGATTGGCGGTACGGGCCACGGGCGGCGGCCCTGGTGCTGAGGCCACCAATGGCGGAGAGTTCTGGTCGGAGAATCCTCCCAGCAGCGCCTCGTCGGGCTTCAGCGACGACGACAGTCTGGCCGGCCAGGAGGGCGATCCCAAGCCCATCGAGCAGATTGTGCAGATGGTGATGCAGCGGGGACGCCACGGACTGGTAAAGGAGTATACGGACATTAGGAACAGGACGCCCGACGGCACCTTCCTACATGCGCGGTAAGTGATTCGATCTCCTTGGTTGGATAACTCTCGGTTTCTATCGAATCCATTTTCCATTTGCAGAATGCGCGCCAACCTGACCAAAAACCGATACACAGATGTCCTCTGCTTCGATCACAGTCGAGTGGTGCTGGCACAGGAGGACGGCGTCGAGGAGCTGTCCGATTACATAAATGCGAATTTTGTCGATGGCTACAAACAGAAGAATGCATATATTTCAACTCAAGGTGCGGAAAAATCCCCAAAAAGGGACCCCATCCCTCAGACACGAAACGAAGGGATGGGAAGGGAAGGGGAGGGGAGGGAAGGGAAGGGAACTGTCCCTCTGTCGAAGAAGTTGTCTATGTTTTCTTTCTATGCGATATTCGATAGGCCACAATAGACAAGGCCTATCTATCGATATATCTATTCTGCAAGGGGGACATTCCTGGGGATGAGCCAGAGCTAGAGCTGTGGCCTGCATTTCGAACTGTCTCTATAATGATATCTCTGTCTCTCTGTCTGTCGCTCAGGTCCATTACCAAAGACATCCCATGACTTTTGGCGCATGATCTGGGAGCAACATTGTTTAGTTATAGTGATGACAACGCGCGTGATGGAGCGCGGGCGTGTGAAATGCGGCCAATACTGGGAGCCGACTGAAGATAGTTCCTTAGAGTACGGCGACTTCCATGTGCGAACAATTAGCGTTGAGTGCAACGAGGACTATACGGTTGCCTCGTTGGAATTGAGAAACATAAAGGTGGGTAGCATAAAGGTCTATCTATCCATAATCTAAAATTGCATTTTCCGCAGACTGACGAAATTCGCAATGTCTCACATTGGCAGTTCACCAGCTGGCCGGATTACGGTGTTCCCAGCTCGGCCATGGCCGTGCTGAACTTCCTCCAGAAGGTGCGCGACAAGCAGGCGGAGCTCGTCGAAGCTTTGGGCGATACCTGGGCGGGACATGCGCGCGGTCCACCGATTGTGGTGCACTGCAGCGCCGGCATCGGGCGTACGGGTGAGTGCCCATCTATGTTCTTCGAGTATATAAATCTTGATTGAGCTTCTGCTTTCCTGCAGGAACATTCATCACCTTGGACATTTGCATATCGCGTCTGGAGGATGTGGGAACGGCGGATATACGCGGCACCGTGGAGAAGATACGCTCGCAGCGCGCCTACTCCATCCAAATGCCCGATCAGTATGTGTTCTGCCATCTGGCCCTCATCGAGTACGCCTACTCGCGCGGCATGCTCCAGACGGTCGATCTGGCAGGCTTCGATGAGCGCGAACCGGACTCGGAGTAGGTCGCAGGTCGCAGGTCCTCTTCGAGAAGGAGCAACAAATAGCAAATAGAGGGGGAGCAGGAGGAGTACAGAGGAGAGGAACTAAGTAAAGAACGGAATGGTGCGGAGCGGAGCGGAACGACAGACAAACACACACACATTGTATACAGATTAATTTTATGCTTATATTCTTCCAAATTCGGAATTGTAATTATTTTGTTCGTTCGTACTTCGATGTTTTTCCTGAAAATATGTGAAAATAGGAGAAAGGATTGCAAGGAAGAGAGAGGGAGAGAGAGAGGAAGAGCGAAAGAGCGGTAGAGGAGTAGAAAGAGTAGAGTAACCAATTTACGTTAATGGACTATAATTTTTTTTTTATTATTATTATTGAAATTATTATTATTATGACATACCAATGCTATAGCCGATGTATAGCGAAAACACACACACATTTATAAATATATACATACATTATTTAAATTAAATTTAAACTAAATGAAAATGAAACAACAATTAGCTAAAAATAAAGAAGAAACAATTATAAACTAAACAAACAAAAAAAAAACAGAGCATAAGTAAACGAAACAAAAACAAAAACCAAGAAAATGAATCAACAGGAAGGAGAAATGTGAGAAGAGAAAGTTAACTAAACTGTGGATCAGATGCAATGAGACGAAATGAGATGAGTGGAGAGGAGAGGAGAGGAGAGGAGTGGTGTGGAGTGGAGGCATGCGAGAGAGTACAACGAAGGGAAGGCAAAGGACGCGAGTAGACCAGCCACCATGCAAAGCAAAGCCGTCCGGAGTAAAGGGCAAACGGATAGTCAATGCGGAAATTGAAATTTAAATGGAAATTGAAATCGAGTTCGAATCGGAAAGAAGATAAAAGAGCGTGCTAACAATTTCCTACAATCAACTATGAAGCCCCCAAAGGAGCAGCAGCATATAACTTATACACACCTATATAGCATACGGCATATGTACGAGTATATGCTTTGATCTATGTCCTATACAGCATATAGATACGATATATATACGATATCCACATATGTATAGAGCAGATTTAAGCATTGTTGTACAATGTTGTCGCAAACCTCAAGACCCAGATGGCGCCAAAAAAAAAAACAGGAACGCAATCCTCCAATCCTCCAATCCTCCTTTTCCCGCATACCCCCCTCCAGGTCCCCCAAATAGCTGTTAAATGTGTATTATTTTTTTAATTTAACATTAATTATTTTTTACAACAAAACATTTATATAAAAAGAAAATTACAACTAAAATTGTAAATTGCAGGCGAGTTTGTAGTGAATTTTACTAAAAAAAAAAAAAAAAAAAAAAAAAAAACAATTTACCAACTAAAGAAAACAAACACAAAATAAGAAAGAAACACGTTTCGCATATGAACAAAAAAGCAGAAAATATAAAGAATTTTGCCCAACTTTCCTACGCTTTTCATATGCCAAGTGGATCCGCTATCCGTAATCCGTGAACCGTGATCTGAATCCGACGAAAGTAAGAGCGGAGGCGGATGCGGAAAAATATTGAAATAAAGGGAAGATAAAACCAAAAACATATTTTGTATTACTTTTTTAAATAACAAACAAATAAAAAACAACCGATGAGGAAAATGGATATCTATATAATAATAAAGATAAATGATAATAATGATTAGTTGTTGTGTGGAAAATCTATGTCGAACGACAGCTTTCTTGAACTAAAAAAATAAAGAAAAACACAAGAATACGAATAGAAATGGAAATTGAAATGGAAATATATATGAATGTATAATATTGTGTGTAAATGCATTTTCTCTGTGCAAAAAGTATTATTATATAATATTTACATAAGATATAGATACATATACATGGAGGCAACTGTTTTTTTTTTCTTCCCAATATATGTACTATATGCAGTATTTTCTGGTGCGAATTTAAACAAAATTGCGACGAATCGTACACTTTGTTGGTTGCACTATGCCCCACACACACAAGCACACACGAACACTCTCATTAAAACATTATCATGTATATCATTAGAATTGTAAAAGCTGTGATCAAACCCCGAAAAACGATAGATGGAAAAGCGAGCAGAATGAAGCGCAGATAGATACCGAAATTAATACAACAAGAGATTCTCCACATCCATACACACCCACACACACGCAGCCAGATCGACAGACAGGACATAGAATAACATTATATTATATGAAAGTTAATATTATGTATAACGAAATAGTATCAGTATATGTACGTACTTTACTCACCACAGAACAACTTTCAATTCTTTCAAAGGCCTTTTCCGAGGGAAACAAAATACATACTACTCGTAACCACAACCGTAGCCCGTAACCCGAAACCCGAAACCAGAAAGCCCCCAGAAAAAGTTATGGGATGAATATGTTATGAATATTCAGCTCCTTTCCACCCAATCGATGAATGCTCTATTTTTATAATGCTTGAGACAGGAAATAACACTTATGCATATACATATACCATATATATATATATATATACACTATATATATTGCATAATCCAAAAACCAGAGAAGAGAACCGAACCCTCTATAGGTGTAAACACGTACTGTACTCGTCGTAGATTAGTGCCATATTGTATGTATTTTTTGTAGGAGGAGATCTTCCGAGGAGTCAGTCGGTGGATGAATGAATGAATGTATCTACGCATCTTACAGATATTTACACATACATATGTATATACCCGTATGTATATGTATGTGAAATGTATAATGAAAATTAGCAAAAATTTCTTCAAGTGTAATGTAAAATGTAGCTAGAGTTACAAAAACGCCCTTGTTTTCCGTTCGATATTGATTACCAGCTTAGTGTACGCGCACCCACCCACCAACCGCCCGCCCCCTCTGTTCTAACACGTACTCGACTCCACTTCCGATGTGTTGCATGCGACACGATGCTTTCTGAAAGCTTTTGCCACGCACACACACGGATACACACACAAGGACATACGAAACCAGATCGATTGATCCAGCCCACCCTTAATCAAATCTTAAAGAGATCTGATCTATCCACTAGCATCTACCACTACCTTTATTCTCTCTGCCGCCACTTTCCCTACATATTGAATAAGTACTTGCATATTGCATAAGCCCAAATAACCAAATACCCCAATACGCAAATACCCAAATACGGATACGGATCCGAAGACCATTAACTTCCATTAATCCCAAAGCTCAAGACTTACGCGAGACACTGTACATACAAACGCGCGGGACAGCGGCCCAACATCCAAGCAGACTGCAGGATCTACATACTGAATTATCTATATGTATGTACTATATACCCCACACCAGACCCAGACCCAAACCCAGACACACGCAAGGAACTCTTAGCCTAGAGAAATGGTCGCATAATATTTAAGGACATAGGCATATATGTACTATGTTATCATTTCACAGCAAGGAAACCAAAATGGAAATTGATGTATCTGCAAATTGCATTTTGCAAAACAAAACAAAACGAAAATTGTGGACAAAATTGTGGATAAAATATATAGAAAACGAAGACGATTTGTTTCATTTTTGAAGGGCCATGGTTTTGGAAGGATCAACGTATGTCCTTCGCCGATCTCGAGTGAAAAAATTAGACTTCATGAAATCGATCCACAACATTTTTTCGCGTACCCAGACTGTCTATCGGCATTAAAATCTCGATGATGAAAATTGAATGAAGTGAATCCTTATGAAAAGATCGATGTTTTCGGGTGCGAATCTTGGAAATCTTGAAAAAATGGATGTCCTTTTTTCGGATGGAAAAGACATGCCTCGACCAGATCGGCCGCCCTATTGCAGAGATATAGCGTGCAGAAGAAACCAATATTTTAGTGGAATGCAAATCTTTGGTAGGCTATATCTCAGACAATTAGGGCCAGATCGGTGAAGGGCCAACTCTCCTAGGATGAAACCTAGTATGCAACCAGTATTTCAATGATATGCATATCTTCCGTAGGCTATATCTCAGACTCTCCCGATCACGGAAAGACATGCCTCGTCCAGATCGGCCGCCCTATTGCATGGATGCCTTTTAGTGATCGATTTCGATGCTACGTAAAGACCATAGAAAACGGGACACAGATTTGCTTTTGAAGTAAAAGGCTCACATTTATTTGTTTATAATTATAGTTAATTTGTTCATAAATACACGCACATTAATAATAATAATAATTCATTAAAACACATTCGTCGTTTATCCATAAGTAGTTCAAAAAGCGTTTATCTTTCTCAGCTTCTGTCTGTCTCTGTCTCTTTCTCTGGCATGTCTTTATCGCCATCTCTCTCCAAATCATCTTTGCCAGCAGCGTAGCTCTACCTCTATCTCTGTCTCTGTCTGGCTGTTTCTGTCTCTGTCTGTCTCGTCCACGTTCCGTATTCAACTAAACTAATGCCAAAAATACATGTAAAGAAATCACCATTTCGTCGTTAGCGTTTGTTTTAGCTTTCGATCAATAATAATCATATAAACTTGTTTCTTTTTGTTTCATTATCCGTTCAATTATTTAGCTAAGTGTTGAATGGTTTTCGTGTAATCGTAATAATCGAATTGTATTATCGTTTAATTGTATGCGTCGAAAGAACCAATAAAGCCAAAGCAACGCTCACTGGACCAATAATCAATCATATCATTTTTGTTTGGCAAAACAGCAGCCATTTTAGTGTATATATAATATACTCAATACTCATATAGACCCCCGATCCGGGACCCCTCTGTGCGTGTGTGCCAGAGATGCATCCGACTCAACTTCAACTTCATTCTTCCAGACTCTTCCAAGACTCACATGCACAGACAGAGGAGGCGCCCTTACATTATGGATTGGATTTTGGGGTTTTGGGGCTTTGGGGTTTTGGGTTGTGTAAATCTAAAAACAATTTACGTACTTTTTGGGGGAGTAAAAGGGGTGTTGTATATAGTAATAACTAACATCCATATACGCTCATTAAACGGTGACCCTATCCTCTATTTTTCTAATGCAAAAGGGAATGCACACATCATCTTCTAGGGACTGTTCTTGACTTGAGTGTTGAGTTCTTGAGGAATTTTAAGGCCTAGGAAATTACAACATTACAAGCTAGTTAAGTATTGGCATAGAATAGCTATCTCTCTGTCTGTCAGCTTTGTGTCTCTTTGGGGGAATGCTACTACGTTGGAGTTTTATTCTGCAAAAGCTTGGATAACTCACTGCTTAGGGGGCTGGAAATTTCACTAGAGGCAAAGTCAAGCGAGGGGGTGGGGGAAGGGGTTCTTAAGTTCTAGGGTGTCGTCTCTGGTTCGTGTATAAATCTTAGGTCTAATGACTGGCGGCGCTAGCGGCAAACCTTTGCTCTTTGCTCTTGAGGTAACTTCAATTCAATTCAGTAAACGGCAACGCAGTGGAAGGATCTACGAACTAGGGTACTGGTATGGGATGCCATGCATAAAGTAGCGTAGGTCTGTCATGGGATTGGAATTCCTGTAGTGGCGGCATCCTACATACATATATATGTATATATATGTACATGTATATGCATATGTATAAATAACTACAGTAGGTACAATAACTAACAGTAGAACTAGGCAAGTTATAAAGAACCCAAAATCAATGTAAAGCGCTTCGGAATGTGTGGGGAGGGGGTACTCGGGGCAGTGTAACAATGGGGAATGGATGAGGAATAGATGAGGAATAGATGAGGAACGGATGAGGGAATATCACTCGGGGGTCCTACTTCTCCTCCTCTACTCGATGCCGAACGTGTTGGTCTCCTCGACGGCCAGCAGCAGCTTCTCGTAGAGCAGCTCCGGTGTGGGGTAGGGAGGCAGGTCCAGCCGATTGAAGCAGGTGTGAGCTCTTGGCAGGGCGTTCGGCTTGCCCCACTTCTCGATGCAAAAACGACGCGGCCCGGTTGAGCCGCGCAGGGCCGAGAAGCCCTCGTACGGAATGCTAGAGGTGCCCGTGACGAACTGCAGCAGGCGCAGCCGCTGCTCGTTGCTGAAGCGCTCGATCACCTGCCAGAACCAGACGATCACCTGGTGGTTGTCGTGGTAGCCCGACCGGTACTCGGTGTTCAGGCGCCAGTCGTTGGTGTCGATCTCGGCGGTGCCGGCGATCACCAGCTCCAGCTCGCGGGCATCGAAGACGGAGACGAGGCGCGAGTCGACCACCTCGTAGAAGCCGCGCACCAGCGACTCGGTCTGCTCCTGGACACCGCGCTCCAGCCGCCACTTGATCATCCGCTCCAAATACTCCTTCTTGTTCTTCTCATTGACAATCATGTTCTTGCCGCCCGGCTTCAGCTCGCGCTCGACGACGCGCCCCAGCAGCTCCTCGGTGACGCAGAAGGTGAGGCCCAGGTCGACGCCCGTGCCGATGTCGTTGTCCCGTATCCACTGCAGCGACTGGTGGAACTCGTTGTCCAGCGACTCGAGGTCGCTGAGGGCCACCGGCAGACGCAGCAGGGCCTTGTAGAAGGGGCGCGTGAAGAAGGCATCCAGCAGATACTGGTGGACGAGGGCCAGGCCCAGGACGCGGCCGCTGAAGCGGAACCAGTCATGGCAGTTGTCCACGAACGCCGACAGCGGCGACACCTGCACCGTGTACGTGTCGTTGGCCGAGTACTCGAACAGGCCGTAGTAGGGGTTAAACAGCTCCCGCGACAGCAGGAAAAAGAACTCCCGCGATGGCCCGCCATAGTCCAGGCCCTCCTCAGTGTCCCACAGCACGGCCAGACGTCCGCGCTGCAGATCCTTCTTGTTGGCGGACATTATCCGACGGAAGGCGTCCTCCAGCAGGTGGCTGCGACGAATGTGTAATCTGTAAAGGAGGCTCTTTATTCGATTCTTGCCGATATTTGATTTCGGTTCTGGTCTGGGAAAGACTTACTTGAGCTTGTGCGGCCCCTGGCCGTAGCCCTTGGACTCCAGTTTGCGGTAGAAGCTGCGCAGCTTGGCCTCAAAGTCGCGTCGGAAGGGTGGCGGCGCCCGTTGCGGCATCCTCGAGCTGAGCACCGGCGAGCCCTGGGGACTCCGCTCTTCAATAGGAACATAGCTCATGATCTCCTGCTCGAACAGGCTGTAAAGAACACAGAAAGCATGGGAAAGAGTGTGAGTGGGGGAGTGCACTTGATAGAGTTGTTAGATAGATTGGAGGTGTCATAATTCTACTGCTCCTCCGCGTGCCTCCTCCCCGAAGTGACGTCATTCCCCAACGCACCAATGCACCAATGTCAGTGGGGAGGGAGGTGATGCAATTGATTGCAAGTGCCGCCTCGTTTATGGATGCCACATGTGTGCCGACTGGCCACTAAGCCGACAATTGATTACCTGGAAAGCAAACATTCGACTCGACTCGACCAGGAAAGGTATCCATCCAGGTGTACCCGGGCCAGGGAGGAGGGAATAGAGTTATGTTTGCACTGTGGGGCGTGAGTCAGGCAACAGGTGGATGTCTACGCAAAAGGCAATTCATATTCGGGATCTGCTTGGACCCTTAGGCTCCAAGGGCGAACAATCGCATGGGAGGCTGGCCAACCTACCAAACGAATGACAGAATCACTCCGAAGAATTCAATCAGCAATGAAATCATGACCAACAAAGGCAATGGGGTCGAAAGAGCAAGTTATTTGTCATAGCAATTAATGTATTCCGTCCACTTTGGCACTTGCATTGCATTTGCACAATTCCATATTTATTCATCAAGGAGAGGAGCACCAAAGAGCCATAGAGCATAGAATGGGTTGGGATCGGATGGGGCAGATTCAGGGTCCAGTCTGGGGATGAAGGTTCTTCTGTGATTCAGAATCGGAAATCGAAAATCGCAAATCGGAAACGTTCCCTTCGGAAACCACAAAGCGGAAGAATCGATTGATCAATCGATGCAATCGATGACCTCCGCTGGTGGCCAGAACAGGGGAAGGGAGGTAGGTAGGGAGGTAGGCGTTCTATCGATTGGTGTGAATTATTAGCAGCAATAAACACAGAATGGAATGGATTGGATTGGAGTATCTGTCTGTATATAAGCAGTATTCTAAGTAGCCCCCTAATCCGTAGCTTAAATTGCTGTTTTGTTGCGCCTTTTGCTTCCACTTTGGCCTTCAACTTGAAAATTGAAAATTGGCCAATTAATAACGAAAAATTATGACGGTCAACCGCATATCGGACGGGGATTGGATTGGGTATCGTCGGGGGAGGGGGGGGGCAGAGTATCGTGCGCTGTTCAAGAGGGGGCCTGTGGGGTGGCCCAAAAGTGACAACAGTTTTGCGTGCAATTATCGCCCCTCGGAAATGACTAATTTCCAAATTGGAGCTGCTGCTGCTGGTGCCGGTCCGTTCTGCCCCCTGCCCCTACTCGTTCTCGTTCTCTCATTATTATTGCTCATTTTTGGAAATGGAAACTGATCAATTAATGGGGGGTTCTATGCCGCATATATCTGCTATGGCTAGGGCTGTGGCTATGTCTAAGCCCCCGTGTCAAATTACTTTCAAATTGAATGAAATTTTTACAAATTATTGGCAACTGAAAACAGCAGGAAGCCGAAATTAACGCCAATTCAGATTAAAAACGCGTGCGTTTTTAAACGCGTAAAAGGGAGCGTGCAATTTTAAACCCTCAAAGCCAGAAGCCAATGGTAAGCCCGTGCACTTTTATACGCGTGCGTTTTTAAACGCGCCAAAGCAGATGAGTGCGAGAGTCGCATGCGTTTTTAAACGCGCCAAAGCAAAGGCCTGCGCGTGTGGGGGCTGTCGTCATTCCCTACACAAAGACGTGGTGCTGGCCATTGTTGCCTATAGGGGCAGTGTGCGATAGGGCCACAAGATGGGCGTGGTGCCCAGGCGAAACAATATCTACGATATGTCTATAATATCATTGCAAAAAGATATAATGCAATCGCGGGCAAATCGCCCGCTGGGTCACTGACTTTTTTCGCCGCTCTGCAAATATCCCGGGACTCGATATGGATAAGGAAACTTAAGGCAGGGATACTTGCGTATTGTGAATGTCCTCAGATAAAGGTGCAAATGATCTCCAAAGGAAGCGTCATATGCCAAGCAGAATACCCACCTGTCCCCTCTGGTATCCCCCAGGTATCCCCTCTCTGGGCTCAGCACTTATGGAATATGATTGCCAGCAAGGGTTTATTTGAATAAAAACAAACATTAAAGAAAGAAAGAAATCACTTACGGCTCCCACATGTGGAAGTTGTAGACAAACTTGGAGAAGAGACCCATTTGGATGGGTCTACCGGATTTTGGGGGGTTGTAAAACCCAAATGGATTCTCAATTAGCGATGCACTAAATCCACCGACAAAAAACCACCAACAAAACAGAAGGTAACACTCGCGGCCAAAACACTACTAAAATCAACTCTCAATTCCACGATTTTCGATACTCGAAAGAGGCAAAAGAGGCAGACGACGACAGGGACAGGCAACAGGCGACTGATTTCGGGCTCTGTTCGAACTGCAACAGTCCCCGACCGTCTGTGGACTGTGGGTGGCGTCGGTGGCAATGGGAATGGGAGTGGGAGCGGTTTTGATAAGCTGATAAGCGGACGGACGGAGGGGGGCGGAGGGGTGGGCGATGATAATGAAGCGTGCCTTAACCCATTTCGGCACTCTGCCACGAAAGATTGGGAGTGCGAGTGAGAGAGAGGGTTCTAAGGGAATCAGAAGAGTTACCTGAGGAGTTGCGACAGCGACTAGTAGATCGTTAAACCATAGGGGATTGCATCATAACATCCAATCGAACGATTGACCAACCACCGATATTCAGAAGAAATACAAAACCATGATTAGGAGTCTCAAAGGCATGACACAACATTGTAATATGAAGAAACCACTTGAAACGGTCCCCCTTGAGGTCTCAACTGAAGAATCATTGAGCAATACTGGGATATTGGGATACTGGATACTAGGCAACAATGTGGCACAAAATGAGTGTAGGGGATTGTACACACATCAATTTTCAAATGGGCCACTTGCTGGAATTGTTTACTTGGCATTCTATTTGTTATTCCATTCCTGTAACTGTAACCCAGTGGAAAAGCACCTCCTGGAGCCTCCTACCCTGGCTCCTACCCGAGAGTGACGTTTGTTCTGGTCTATGCGATAGAACGTGGGAATGGAATGGGAGCCGAGAGTCCGTCGTTAGAACTCGGTCTAAGCCTTCGGGTGCAGCGGACCGCCAAAAAGTGCAACCCAGACGGAATCGCTCTCAATGGAGCAGTGGGAGGGAGAGGGTGGAGAGGGGAGAGGGAAGATACAGAAAACAAAAGTCGGATGCAACTGACGGACAGGATGTGAATACATGTATGTGGTTTTGCATGCCCAAGCAGTTATGAGATACAGATACAAAGGCATGCAACAACATATGTACATAAATACAATATGTATGTAAATTCACGATTCGGTGGGAACATTCCGAAGGGATGGAAGAGGAGAGAAGATTCTTGGAACAGTGCGCACTTCAATCGGATAGGGAGGAGGAGGAGGAAGAGGAGGAGGGGGAGGGGGCAGACCTAAGTCAATACAAAACATCGTTGAGCTTCTGTGTTTTTGATGGAATTCTTCCCTGAAGGGATGGATGAATGCAAGGGGGATCGGAAGAAACTTTGGCATTTGAATAGGGATACTCCAGGAACTGCTTCTTCCATATGAAACTGAATGCAATAGAAACGGATACGGAACGGACAGGATACCCACTGGACACCTGCTTGCCACGACAGGACGAACGCTTCAACTGAGTCTGATACAACGGACATTCTATGGGGTGCAAAAATATCGACTGTAGCTCGTGAAATATTCATTATTGGAGGAACTTTCCACACCGTCCAATTATGCCAATTTAAGGGTCCTAGTAATCGCCTCTAGAAACTTGCAACCGCAGCACATTTTATGAGTTAATAACAGTTATCCTGCCGCGACTTCTGCTGCAGCTGCAAAAGCTTTTAAAGCTGCTGCAGGAGTCGGAAGACCAATGCTTTTGAAAGCTTTTACAAGATAAATACAAATAAAAACGCATCATCACATTACAGAGTTTGGTGTAATCTAACGGCGTTTTTACACACCTCAAACAACGACAAGAATGATGAGTAAACCCAAAGGGGTATTCTAGGGGTGTGTTAGACGAGTGGATGGATGGATGGATGGTTGTACTCACACGGCCCACACGATGTAGGCAGCCTTCGATAGAAAGCCCATTTTGTTGCGTTCGCATAAGGTTGAAGCACCGAAAAGTTAACCATTCCGTTCCCCTGGGATCGAGATCTCCAGGATATATTTTCACCACGGAACGGCACACACACAGACAATCTACGTATAGCGATAAATGAATGCACGGCACAAAATAAAAAAAAAACAGTTTTTGGGGGTTGGTTGGATCGTCGGGATCAACGGATCGACCTGCACGCGCTTTGGCAGTTGGAACAGAAATGCTTCTGCTGCCTCGAATGCTTCTGTGGATTGAAAGCTACGCAAATCGAATTGCCGAACGGCACGGCATACGGCTAACGGCGAATGGAGCAGAGCGGAGCGGAGCGGAAGAGAGAGCGCGAGCCAATGCGAACGGAACTGAACCGGCGTTGGTTAGTTGGGGAGTCATAGATAAAAGAGACACAGAGACCCGACAGACCCCCTAAACCCAGGCAGAGTTTACTCTCGCTTTCCGACGGCTCCCGGCCAGAGAGGGGGTAGCTTATGCTTATGCTTTATGCTGTGCTCCTGCTGTGCTGCGCTCTCCTGATATGCTCCATCTGATATGCCTGCCAACTGCAGATTGTTGGCATTTATGAAAGGAAATGGAAAATGGAATTGGGCGGCAAAGAATATTATTTTTTGTTTCTGTTTTATTGGTGTTTTGTTTTGTTCTGTTGGCAGTGCGAGCGATACAAGACGATCGATCGGTAAGGCAGCGTTCACGAGTGCAGCGCAGCGCAGCCGAAGACAAAGCAGAATCAGAATCTGCCGAACTCTTTGCCGAAGTTCTGACGCCTGCGCTGGCGCAGAGGCAGCGCACGCCACTACACAATGGGGCTGGCAGGCAGAGCCCAGCAGCGGACCATCGCATAAACGGAGGGAGAGGGAGCCAAGAGAGAGCAAAGATCAGGGGGTAATTATCTAGCGCCACTGTGCCCGCTGCCGTCAGATGTGGCCTGCATGACACGACCCGCTCTCTCTCGCTCTCTCTCGCCTGACTCACCACCCACGAGGATTGCACTCAGCTGAGAGAGCAGAGCAGTGCATAGCAGAGCAGCGGCTGCATGGCTGGCCTCAGTGTCTGTGTGCATGGCATGTGTGTGCTTGTGGCGTTGGTCATGGTCAAAGCATGTTAAATAGAGGGTAAAGGCAAGTGCATACACTAGGGATTTATTCTCGGCCTGTCTCACCTACCATTCAATATACCCTGGTCATTGTTATGCTTGTAATTGTTCGCTGATCATCGCTTAAACCGCCGCGGCGTGGCCCTGCCTAACTCCACCACGCCCTGCATTTAGCACGCCCCAAAACGGAAGCCACAACAGAACGGAGACAGGGACTGACAGACGCGTATCACTGTTCGGCTCACTCTGTGTGTGTCTCCAAAATGTAGCCAACTGCACGCATGCGCGCGCGCGCTCCGCCGGCGACAGAAAACCCAATGAACTGTAAACAAACAACAGAGCAAGGCAAGGGCCACAAGAAAGGAAGGCTACCGTGGCTACCTCGGGTGGGTCGAACCTCTAGATACCCTAACCTATCGGATCGATCAGCTATGGAAGATTGCTGTTGCTCATACGAATAGTAGACGCCCATTCGACTCTGCTTAACGTTCTTCCTTTTGTGCTTTGCAAGCCCGGTCTCTGGTCAGATGATGAATACCCCAATTAGCAAAAAGGGCATATATGTACATATGTATGTACATATGTACAACAAAGGCGAAACTCTCCTTCTATGGGTCAAATTTGAAACACAAATACGAGCGAGTAATATAACCGTCAACTCCATTTCCATTTCCAATTCCAAGTCCAACTTGCCGCAACTGCGGGAGCAATAGAAAATTACTGAAACTTGTCAACGCTTCAGCGAAGCTCAATGATGACGATGTCGACACTGCCCCTGCCCTGCCACACCCCCACTGGCACTGGGACTGGGACGGGAACTATTGTGGTGGAGCCGTGGAGGCAGAAGTGAAGTCTTGAAGCGGAGGGATACTCCACGAATTTGTGCCCCGTTTGGCCAATAAATTATGCTTGATTTGGAATTTGGAATTGGGTTAAATTGTGTGCTGTGTTGTGTTGTGTTGGGTCGGCGAACGGGGGATTAGTGTGGATAGATGGAGTGCCCCTGCCCCCAGCAGCTGCTGCTTTGGGGCGTCGCTCTGTCCCTGTCCGAGGTCCGAGTGGAGGCGTGGCAGCGGTCGCGTCTGGAATGTCCCACCATAAAGCAATCAACAGATCAGAAAATCCTAAACTCAAACCCAAAAAATATCAATAAAATATCCCAAAATTCTTTATCGACGGACTGCATGTTGATTCAACTACGAGACGACGGATCGTGTATTTATGCATTGTTTTTGCTGGTAATTCATATTCACAAATAATCACAAATAATAATTAAGCCAACTGGCGAAATACAAGGGGACAAACAATAAACAAATACGAGTACCTATGAATGTACAACCCATACGAGATACAAGATACGATTGTGTGCTACGCTGAGTATTTGCTGAATCTTAGTTGTCGTTTATTAATTTCTCATCTCATTGAGTCGCGGACAAGCACAGGCACAGGCCCACAGTCCCCCAGTCCCACAGGGAGACAGTGGAGGGAGAGAGAGAGAGAGAGAGAGAGAGAGAGAGAGAGAGAGATGTGGCTTGGCTCGACTTGAGAAGGGGAGTAGAAAAAGCCCACCAAGCCCAAAGTGAGTAATAGCCGAGTCGAGTGCAGATTGTCTGAGGTTCGTTTGGGTACATATATATATGTACATATAACATATACCATATACCATATACGATATACGATATACAATACGGATAGAGATCGGCTAGAGGGAGTCAGAGAGCGGATGAACGAATGTAATATAATACAGGGAAAGTTCTTTCGGGGGGAAATCGATCCACAGGAGAGTTTTCCCTGCTGTGCTCTCCAGTCATCTGGTTGCCACACGGGATACATGGGTGGTACACGCACTCCTTGGGTCAATGTCCAGCCGCTAATGAGTATCAAAACTCCCACGGCTCATGCCGCATGGCTGCCATTTGTGCCTGTGTCTCTGGGAGGCAATGAAGCGCGACATTTGAGCTAATTGAAATGCAATTAAACGGCTCAATCGGTATACGACTCGGAATCGGAAATTGCTGGTGGACGGACTCAGGCTCTCAGTTTTCAGGGGATTAAGATTTAGATTTGGATTTCAGATTAAGATTAAGGTCAACAAATGCAGGCGAGTGCTCGAGTGCAGGCGGCAGTTCCTCCAAATTTGTGGTCGAAGTCGATTCAAGAATATTTTTAAGAGAAACACACGGCCAATTAGACAATAAATACACCCCACTCGTATTGGATCGGAGTGGGGGCTTGGGGGGAAGCACGAATTAACCTTGGTTGTGGGCTTTGCTTTGCCTGCCTTTGCCTGCCGCTTGGAGGTGTTGTTTGATGCTTTGGAAAATTGGCCAGCAACCTTCGGCCACAATTTTCAAAAGCAATTAAACATGGGAGTACATGAGTACCATGGGTTCTATGAGTATATCGGAGAGCACTCAAGCAGGACCGCCGCTGCACAAAGACACCCAGCAACAACATCAACACCAACGCCAAATCGATCAAAGCCGAGCGAAAACCAAATCAAAGTCCAAATCTAAGACCGAGGCAAGACAATGACGCACCACCGCAATGCATGCCATTTGAGGGCCAGGTGGATACCTGTCGGTCTGGGATGTGGGACCTTCGTCAAGTGCAGGTGCGGGTGCCGGTGCAGGGGCAGATGGAGATGGAGATTGAGAGGGCGCTGCAGATGGATGGGGTGCGGGTGCGTCACTCTTCAGCTGTACACCGAACAGATGTGGTCCTCGTGAAAGCAATTTGTTGGATCTATAATCTAGATCTATTTACGGGATCGGAATGGCTCTCGTTTTGATGATATAAATTTTGTAGGTAGTATTAAAATACCAAGTAACTCTCCAATGGGTATTTATTTAGTTACCCATGAAAATTATAAATATTTATGAATTGGCGCAAAACTGGGGAATGACCTCGCAATATTTCTTGTTGTTAAGTACAGAGAAATAGTGTATTTTTTTTAGGGGTTTACCTATAAAGCTTCACCTGTGAAAATATATAGGCTAGTGGTTTTAGTGGTCCGGTGCACAGGTTTGCGAATACCTGACTACTATGGTCCCCAAAACAAGCATATCCAAATTTCGTGGAAATCGTACGAGCCGTTTAGGAGCATTCCGTAATGGGTTAATGGTTCAGTGGGTTAATGGGAGTCTGGAAGGAAGCCCTTATTATGCTTGCAGTTCCATTTTATAAGCAATCTACTGCAATTAATCCCTGTCGACAGACTTTAGTTCTCTCGGGTCACAGGTCACGGGTCACTGCTTTGCACTCATCTACTCACCTAAGCAAAATGGTCAATTGTAGGTCATGACCCAGCCGCTCTAGAGCCGGCACGCCCTCCACTCGGAGCACATTGATTTTTTCGCGCAGCGAACGGGACACCGTGTGCTGGCCCTGGCGCTCGCGCAGTATCTCCAGGATGTTGGGCTGGCGCAGGAACGCAATGACCTGGAATCAAAGGAGAGCATGAAGACGAAAAGCCTGCACCCTGCATTCTGCATCTACTCACCTTCTCGTTGTAGGCAATAGGCACATCGTCGTAGCCGGCTGCAGTGGCTCCGCTTCCACCCGCTGCTCCGCCCAGACTGAATGCACAGGCGATGGCCGCCGTTGTGGTGCAGTTGTGGCCGCCATGGCCGCCGTGGCTGCCATGGCTGCTCCTTCCGCTGATGCCGCTGCTTGAGGAGGGACGAGGCGGGGGCAGGGGTGGCACACCCGACACAGAGCCCAGGGCGGAGGAGGCAGCCGAGGGAGAGCCAGAGCTGGAGTTGATGTGGCCACTGGTGGCCGAAAGGCAGTTGCCGTCCACGAGATCCGGATGGAAGTATGACTGGTGCTGGTGCTGCTGCTGCCGATGGCGCACGACGCGCGGACACTCGACGGGCAGGCGCGGGTCCATGAAGGAGGTCTTGCGGTGCTGGTGGTCGATGAAGAACTGCTTGCCGGACTGGTCGAGCTTCGTCTCCCAGCAGGAGGGCAATTCGCGGCCCATCTGGGCGAACGTGTTGACGAGGGCCACCAGATCCTTGTTGTACTGGTACCGCTGGAAGCACTGCGGATCCCTCCTGATCCGCATCACCATGTGCTTGAGGGCGGCGTTCCGGTTGTAGATCGTCAGCGCCGCCTCGTTCGTGTGCAGCAGGGAGTAGAAATCGGGCCGACAGAGCATCAGTATGGCCGGATGGATGCCCGACGAGGCCACTGGAGTCCCTGCAGTCGTTGCTGCTGTGGGGGCGGCGGCGGCACCTCCGGGGGCAGTAGCGGGCGCCGCCGCCGCTGCATTCGACTGCCGGGGCGGGGGTGGCACACTATAGACCGCCAGTCGGTTCTCGTTGGTGATGGTCCGACGGATGCTCTGGTAGCGCCTGTCCAACTGCTGGCGATGGTGCTGTTCCCGTCCCGCAGGTCCGCCGCTAGGCGCCGCTCCTGGGCGCTGCCAGGATGTCGTCCGGGTGGTGTGGTCTATGTAGAAGATGCGCCCGTGACTATCCATGCGCGCCTCCCACGCTGGTGGCAGTGGCGGTTCTCCACCTCCACCTCCAGCTCCCACTGCCACTACCCCGGCTTCAACTCCTGTTCCGGCCTCTACTAGGGCTGCTCCTCCGGCTGCTGCTGCTGCTGCAGCTGCCGCCGCTGCTGCTGTACGCTCCGGAATGGACGGCAGGCGGGTGCTGCTGATGTGGACCATCTCCTCGGCTGCTGGCTCCTGGGCCGCTGGCGACCCGGGCGGTGTCGTCTGCAAGTAGATGTAATCCAATTGACTAGATGAAGGAGGAGGACTAGAGGAGCACTCCGCTGGATGGCTGGAGTTGGCAGTGACTGCTTGAAGGCGGGCATGCCGCCGGGCATGGTGTGTGGGCGTGGGTGGGCAGATCAATGATGACCCTCCTCCTCCTGCTGCAGCTCCCGCTCCAGCTCCTCCTCCCACCCGCTTGAGAAGCCTCTGCTGTGGTCGCTGGTGGCCATGGAATGTGGTCGTTCCGGGAGCCGCCGCCGCCTCCGCCGTTGCAATGATACCACCGACGCCTCGACCCCGCGTGGGTGAGTGATGCTCCGGACTGGCAGCCACATCCAGCGGTGAGGCACTTCTCGTGGAGCAGCCGGAGGGAGGACTCCGCTGGCGCTTGGGCGAGAGGAGCAGGCGCGGCGAGGAGGCCAAGTGCTGCTGTTGCTGCTCCTCCGTGGACGTGGGGGCACCCTTGCCGTTGGACAGGGCTCGGGAGAGGGGACGGTGCTGGCGAAGATACGGAAACTGGTGTTGCTGGTGGCTCGGCGAAGAGCTAACAGACACGACGGTGGAGTTGGGGTTCGAGTTGGAACTCCCGCCGAGAGGGAAGGTGGGGGGAAACTCGTAGCTCTGCTGGACCCCTGCACCCGCCCCCGCCGGCACTGGCACCTTCTGCGTGCTGATCGTGTTGATGTAGCTGTCCGGGCCGATCTTCTTCTTGATCAGCGGCTTGAAGCGCACAGGCGGAGTGGACAGAGGGGAGTTATGCTGTGGAGTGCTGCTGCTGCTGCTGGCGCCGGCCACCTCCTCCGCGAGACGCTCGTCCGTGTCCAGGATGTCAAACTTGAAGACATCGCCCTGCAGCTTAAATTCCCTGCCGACGGCTCGAGGCGGCCAGGAGCGCTCCAGGGGTCGGTGCTGCGGCGGCGAGAGCTGGCGGAGATGCTGGTGCTTCTGTCGGCGCTGGACATTGGTGCTGGCCTGCAGGGCGGCGGCTGCTCCCAGCAGACTCTCCACGGCGGCCGCCTCTTCGTCTTCCTCGTCCTCTACTGCATCCTCGTCCACCTCGGCCACGCTGAGGCTGTCCACCATCTCGGCAGGCACCGTTTCAAAGCATTCGCGGGCCACCCACAGATTGAAGCTCTCGCCATTGGCGTTGGACAGCGTGGAGCAGCCCGAGGGAACTGCAGCGATTCCTCCAGGAACCGCAGACACAGCTTTGGTCTTCTTCTTGGCCCCGCTCAGGGGCGTGGAGCCGCCGCTCTGGGGCGACAGGGTCCAGGACTTGCGCCGTGCTCCGCCACCAACGCTGCTGCTGCCATCGCTGCCGATGCTGCCGTTGTACGAGTTTGTGGGCGAGAGCGTGGAGTTGTTGCCCGGCGTCTCGCAGGATTTGGTTGAGAGTAGCGTCTGATGGCGTGGTTCCTTATCCAGAACCGCTTCCGGGGTCGGATCGTGTGCTGGCAAGTCTATTTCGTTGTGGCTCAAGTCTTTTGGGGCTGCAAGTGGATCGAAGAACATACTATATTGCTCCCATGGCATAGATTCAATGATGGAATATACTTACAATTATCACGTTTCCTGCAAATCACCACAGGGACATCCATCAAGCCAGACCCAGAGGCATTGGCAGAGGCAGAGTCTGAGGCAGGGGCACGGGCACCACTGGGGGGTTGCTGCGCCTCGTCCACATCGCTGATGCTCACCTCCGGGTGAGCGTTGGCAAGTGTTAAAGCACTTTGAAAGGCATTTTCCAGCTCGTCGCTTTCGTTGCCGTTGCGCGCCTCGTAGTACGCATCATCCTTGGCATCATCCTCGTCTTCTTCCTCCTCCTCTTCCTCATCATCATCGTCCGCATCATCAGCAACACCTGAACTGGGCCTGGCTGTGTGGGGCACGACATCCGATGGATTCCTGGAGTCCGCCAGGCAGCATGCCAGCAACGGCGTCAGGGCCACTGCCGCCGCCGCTGGGGGTTCCATGACGAGGATGCTGCGCCTCCCGCTCCTCCTCCGCCCGCTGTTACACCAACTGCTTGTGCTTCTGCTGCTGCTGCTCTACTTTTGAGTTATGGATTTTTTTGCTTCGCATTGCGTTGCCGCCTCCCATTTACACAATGGGCACTCGCGTAAAGGACTCAGTTCATGAACGCGCTCCCGATTGTCCTCGTTCACTTCGTAATTAACAAACACCCTTCAATAATCAGCAATAATTGAAAAAAAAATTTAAGAACTTCGCTGGACAGCTGGGGTTTAGAGGTCAGTGTGACCGACCTTCAGAAATATACCAAAATATACCGTCTTATTTTCAAAATATACCGTAAATATACTGACGAATTCAAGTTATTTTCTACATATTCCTCGATTATTAGCTGGATAAACATTTAGCCATGCCCACGTAATTTTATCCAATTAATGACATATGCCGATCCAAGTACAGTAATTTAAAAGCTTGAAATGGAGATCATTGTTGTCAACCGGTTCAAAGAGAGCCTTTCCCGATTCAAGTTTGGTTATCGATACCATCGACTGGATACGAGTGGTTCGCGCCAAATAGAAATTGTTTGAGCTGCTGAAAATTTTCTCACCTAGTATCCGAAAACGGTCACTTTAACCGTTAGAATATAGCCGATATTTGATCTTTCAAAAAGATTAACCCTAAAATGAAAATGGGGGATATGGATAGATTATCCTTAGAGTAGTATATTGGTATATTTAATTATGCTGTAATTGTTTCGGCTACAAATAATAAAAAATATTCATTTTTTACGGTGCCTGGAAAAACAAGTGCATTTTTTACTTTGATATGCGTTTCATTGCCACTGGTTTTTGTTGGTTGTAAATTAAGAGTTCATTTTATTTTTAATTTTGTTAATTTATTGGTTTAAGGAGGCTCCTCGTCTGTCTGAAACGAGAGTGCCAGCTCTGCTGAACAGTATGGGGATTCCTAAAACTGATTATGATATTCGATATTTGAGAGTTGGTTATATAGAGGCTGGAGATTGCTCATCTGTTATTTATTTTTGTATTTTTATTGTTCTCATTTTGTTACAACAAGTATCAAATACAATTAAGCTTATGTACTTGAACATCTTTAATTTTGTTTAATTGTACCTTGCTTTTTTTTCGAATCACCTATATTAGGTTTTGAGCCTGAGAACTGTGTTTTTAGTTGGTGTATGGACTCAGGTTCCGGGAAGTTTGGCCAGCAGATTGCCAGATTTTGCTACTGACTACTTACTACCTGCTGTCAGTAAAATATTTGCCTGCTGGGTCTTCGTCGTCAGTAGTATATTCATTTTCTTCCAATTCAGAGCTTTGCACCTTAGAGCTCGAGTTCATCTTTGCCGCTCTCCAAAACTTTAAATCGATTTCGAATTCCTCCGTCGCTACTCCAGTGTGTGGGTTTTTCGCCTTCGTAGCTACTTCTTCATCTTCATCTTCATCTTCATCTTCGTCATCTTCATCTTCAATTTCGTCTTCGTTGTCCACCTCGGAATCAGACCTATACATTATTGATAGTTCGGCATCTAAATCGTCTTTTTCTTCCTCCGCATAGACTACGTATTCGGCGCCTACTGCGGCTGCGTCATCCCCCTCTTCATCAGAATTTTGGAAAGCTGCTAATTTTGCGATTAACTCGTCTGCCGCGTCATTCCCTTCGCTCTCAAGATCTATTTCTTCTTCCATTGATTCTAATTCGGATATTAGTTCGGCTTCCGGGCTATACTCATCGCTGTCGGAGTCCATTAATTCTTCAGCGGTCTTGTGCCCCTGTAAGTCAGCAACTCTCTTTGCTTTTAAGCGGGCACAAAATTCTGCTGTGATCTCCTTCTGTGCCTCTACGTTGGCTAATAGCTCTTCTGCGACCTTGTTTTCGCGTTCAAATTTTTGCTGTGCTTCTAGTTGCAATTCGGCCCTTAATCTTTCTGCGTTTCGGTGCTCCCTTACACGAAGTCCACGAACCATTTGGTACAAATATTCTCCAAAATGACCATATTGTGCGACATATTTGTCCATTTCATTGGGTGGTGTGCTTACAGTTTTGAGCACCGTAGAACATAATTTAATCAGCCGATACCATATATTCTTTAAGGCTCCCTCTTCCACTCTGGGATTCCTGCCTCCAGCGTACATGAATTCCGATAACTTCGATAATTCCGGTAGCAGATAGTCTGCTACGACAAGACTTCCCAATTGGCCAAAGCCAACGACGGCCCCATAAATCGTAAATAAATTTCCGTGGCGGCGAAGACCGCTAATTAAAAGCCTTCAAATTTGTATATAAAATGTAGAAGCAATCAAGATCGTGGATCAAGGGGTTGTGACTCGCGTACTTACCGAATAATTCTACCGAGCAAATTGTAGCTCTTGATGACCCTCACAATATCGCCCATTATGCGACTGGCCAGCTCCCTGAGGTACCAGTGAAACTCATTGCCCTCAACGTCCTCCTTCTCGAATGCCTCCTGAATGAGCAAGCACGAGAGTACGCTAGGTAGGATTAGGTGGAACTGCAATTAAATATATATCCCCACAATCAATAATCAACCAATCACTGATTACACGCACTACTCCTACTCCCACTCACATGCTTGTTGAAAGTGATCCTACGATTCTTCACAAGAGCTTGAGCCATGAGTAGCGGAACGATGCACTGATACACATCCTTGTCATAGAGACCCTCATCGATTCCGTCTACTATGTGCGTGGTCAACTGGGGAAGTATGTACTCTAAGCTCGGATCTATTTGCAATGACTTCAGTGCGTGGGCTAGCGCATCCTCGTCATCTCCCCAACACGCATGGATGATTGTTTGGTAGAAGGCTTGCTGCTCTTTGGTAAGCGGAAACCGTTTGGGGGGCTTCAGCTCCACTATCTCTTCCCATTGCCAGCCAGATCCGGCTTTCGCTGTCGCCGACGGACAATGCGTGTCGGTACATGCGGCAGCATGCCCTCCTTTAAGTGCTCCAGGTTCTTTCGCAGGCAACGACATACAAAGAATACTGCCATAATCGTCGTCATCCTTGAGGGCATGGTAAATGTCTGCTTCCGTTACCACATTGCTACGGTTGTGAATTGCATATGTTTTTATTGTCTCCAATATTTCGTTGACTTCTTTGCCCATGTCCCAGGCAATAGCTTTTGCCACTTTTTTGCTTAGGCCACCGAATGTGGCTTTCTTGTAAATGGCTTTTATCGTTTTGGTCGAAAGCGATTTCACTTTAATTTTGCTTGTTCCATTTACGTAGTGATACGCTGCCATTTTTTCCACAAACTCTCCGTCTACTGTTTACCTGAAGCGATGCGATGGAAATTTCCCTGTCTGCGAACTTCTTTGCAAGTCACGTACTTACACATAATCAAACACACACACACCTTTGCACAGGAAATGAAGAAAAACTAGCAGCTGTCAACTTTAGGCGCAGCCAATTTCAAATGATACGATGCCAATTCACAGAGCTACCAGATAGTTTAGTTTGTATCAGACGAGGGGTATTCCTGTATGCTGCGAAAGATCATCAGAATGAAAGTGTAATTGACTTTACTTTCCTAATTAAGGAAATACTTTCCGTTACATTTTTACGTCGATATTGAGTCTAAGCTCTAACCACTTTACAGTACATAGATGTGCCAGTTCATACAGCGAACATGTCGCAAACCAACTTTCTGGATTAGATCCCAGGGTCTTCGGCTTTGGCATTCGTCTACCGCCGCCGTTGCCCAGCCAGACAGAATCGTATCCCAGCAGGACTGAAGCGCACCCCTTGTATGATCCGAAGCTTACAAGCCATCCTCATCCTTCGCCCTGGCCATCGACAACAAGGACTTTGACTATGGCAACCAATGTATGCTATGAGGGCTACTAGACTTTAGATAGATCTCGTTGTAGTTTGGAAATATACACTCCCATACATTTGGATAGTAACTATAAATGTTTTCCCCTAGTTTATTTACTTCTACTAAGCTAACTAAAGCTGTATTCTGTATCGGGGAAACTATGCCGATTACAAAAGGAGTGGGACGTCCAGACTGTTCACAAATAGCGGAAAAACAACATGTTTTTGATTGCGGTACAAGTCCGTGATCCTTAATAGTTATTCCATTAAATCAGGGATATTTTGTGGATCACAGGAAGATCGGTTGGAGTTACTGTAGTCCTTACCGAAGGATCAAGGAAATTTTTCAGATCACTGCATCCCCCGATCAGGCCAGAAATAAGGGAGAAAAAAGATATACATGTCTGGAGAAAATATCCTTGATCTTTGGTCCTTGATGAGGAATGCATTAGATCAAGGAAGCTATTCCGAACCCAGAAACCCAGTTGTACAACAAATTTGCAGAATGACGAAAAGACATGCTGCCGTATTGCAGAGATATAGCGTGCAGAAGAAACCAGAATATCACTGATATTCCAATCTTCGGTAGGCTATATCTCAGACAATTATGGCCAGATCGGTGAAGGGCCAACTTCCCCAGAATCGCGAGGATCTAGACTGTCCATCGGCGTCAAAATCTCGACTTCGAAAATGAGTCCGATTTTGGCAAAATTTAATGATGTAACCCATCATGATTGTTTGCGAAAATCGTGAAAAAATGGATGACCTTTTTTCCGATTTCAGTCGATTGGCAGGACTCTCCCGATCACGGAAAGACATGCCTCGGCCGCCCTATTGCAGAGATATAGCATGCAGAAGAAACCAGTATTTCAATTATATGCCAATCTTCGGTAGGCTATATCTCAGACAATTAGGGCCAGCTCTCCCATGATCCAGACAGCAACAACAGACTAAAACAAGCCAGTTTTGCTTAATTTTTTTCTGCGCTGTTTGTGGCTTGATCAGTGTGATGGCCACCTGAGATCGAACAAATGTTTTGCGACTTCATGGAGCCTTTATCGAGGATCCAGAATTCTTTCCCAATCAACCATATCGGTATTTATTCATTTATTTTAAGGAATAAAGTATACAGCAAGGATGATTTTTCATTTTTCAATAGTTTTATTCATCAAAATTTAGCTTAGTATAAATAAATTAACAAGTGAAAAACATTTGCATCTACTATCTAAATGAATGCACGCGTATGTCCTTAAACCTAACAACAACGAAATCTATCTAGAGTCTAGCTGCCCTCATAGCTCCTCCCTTGGTTGCCATAGTCAAAGTCCTTGTTTTCGATGCCCAGTTCGGAGGATGCCGATGGCTTGTAAGGTTCGGATCATACAAGGGGTACGCTTCTGTCCTGTTGGGATACGATTCTCTCTGCACGGGATAGGACTCGTTCTGTGCATATCTCCTCCCGCTAGGATGGAAGGACTATTGCTCCTCAGATCTTTACCTATAAACTCTTAGTGGGTAACATCGTTTGCCCAGACCTGTTTAGTAGGATTGGCTTGAGCACGCCTGCAAGGAGCCTTAGGACCCATGCTCCCTTTTTGGTTGATCTGCACAATGCGCCAGCACAATGCGTTGCCAGCTAGGATGCGATTTTACTTTTGCTAGGGGAAAGGAGCCATCAGACGGTTAATTCATTTATGAATTTGTAATTTTTTGTTGTTATTTAGGATAGAAATAATTTAGTTAAGGATTATTTTGTTTCCGTTGTCGAATAATAATAAATAAATAAATAATAAATAAATAAATACTGAAATGTTTGATTGGGAAAAATATTCTGGATCCTTGATAAAGGCACCATTAAGTCGGGTACATTTGTTCGATCTCAGGAAGCCATCACACTGACCGAGCCACAAGTAGCGGAGAAAAAAATCAAGCAATACCTGTTGTAGTCTGTTGTTGTTGTTAATTGTTCTACAACTCAAATTAGAGATAAATAATCTTCTCAAACGATTTTTGTTGTTGTGCAACAACAGGCCCCAACTTGCGACCAAAATTGCGTCAAATTTGTTCATCTTATTTTTGGCTACATCTCGACTATTTGTGAACCGATCTGGGCGAGGCATGTCTTTCCGTGATCGGAAGAGTCCTGCCAATCGACTGAAATCGGAATGAAAGACATCCATTTTTTCACGATTTTCGAAAAAAATCATGATGGTTACATCATTAAATTTTGCAAAAATCGGCCTCATTTTCGAAGTCGAGATTTTGACACCGATCGACAATCTGGATCCTCGCGATCATAGGAGAGTTGTCCCTTCACCGATCTGGCCCTAATTGTCTGAGATATAACCTTCCGAAGATTGGCATATCATTGAAATACTGGTTTCTTCTGCACGCTATACCTCTGCAATAGGGCGGCCGATCTGGGCGAGGCACCGATCGACAGTGTGGATCCTCGCGATCCTAGAAGAGTTGGCCCTTCACCGATCTGGCTCTAATTGTCTGAGATATAGCCTACCGAAGATTGGCATATTATTGAAATACTGGTTTCTTCTGCACGCTATATCTCTGCACTAGGGCGGCCGATCTGGGCGAGGCATGTCTTTCCGTGATCGGAAGAGTCCTGCCAATCGACTGAATTCGGAATGAAGGACATCCATTTTTTCACGATTTTCGAAAAAAATCATGATGGTTACATCATTAAATTTTGCAAAAATCGGCCTCATTTTCAAAGTCGAGATTTTGACACCGATCGACAGTCTGGATCCTCGCGATCATAGGAGAGTTGTCCCTTCACCGATCTGGCCCTAATTGTCTGAGATATAACCTTCCGAAGATTGGCATATCATTGAAATACTGGTTTCTTCTGCACGCTATACCTCTGCAATAGGGCGGCCGATCTGGGCGAGGCATGTCTTTCCGTGATCGGAAGAGTCCTGCCAATCGACTGAATTCGGAATGAAGGACATCCATTTTTTCACGATATTCGCAAAAAATCATGATGGTTACATCATTAAATTTTGCAAAAATCGGCCTCATTTTCGAAGTCGAGATTTTGACACCGATCGACAGTCTGGATCCTCGCGATCATAGGAGAGTTGTCCCTTCACCGATCTGGCCCTAATTGTCTAAGATATAACCTTCCGAAGATTGGCATATCATTGAAATACTGGTTTCTTCTGCACGCTATACCTCTGCAATAGGGCGGCCGATCTGGGCGAGGCACCGATCGACAGTGTGGATCCTCGCGATCCTAGGAGAGTTGGCCCTTCACCGATCTGGCCCTAATTGTCTGAGATATAACCTTCCGAAGACAGGCATATCATTGAAATACTGGTTTCATACTAGGTTTCACCGTAGGAGTGTTGGCCCTTCACCGATCTGGCCCTAATTGTCTAAGATATAGCCTACGGAAGATTGGCATATCATTGAAATACTGGTTTCATACTAGGTTTCATCCTAGGAGAGTTGGCCCTTCACCGATCTGGCCCTAATTGTCTGAGATATAGCCTACCGAAGATTGGCATATTATTGAAATACTGGTTTCTTCTGCACGCTATATCTCTGTAATAGGGGGGCCGATCTGGGCGAGGCATGTCTTTCCGTGATCGGGAGAGTCCTGCCAATCGACTGAATTCGGAATGAAGGACATCCATTTTTTCACGATTTTCGAAAAAAATCATGATGGTTACATCATTAAATTTTGCAAAAATCGGCCTCATTTTCGAAGTCGAGATTTTGACACCGATCGACAGTCTGGATCCTCGCGATCATAGGAGAGTTGTCCCTTCACCGATCTGGCCCTAATTGTCTGAGATATAACCTTCCGAAGATTGGCATATCATTGAAATACTGGTTTCTTCTGCACGCTATATCTCTGCAATAGGGCGGCCGATCTGGGCGAGGCACCGATCGACAGTGTGGATCCTCGCGATCCTAGAAGAGTTGGCCCTTCACCGATCTGGCTCTAATTGTCTGAGATATAGCCTACCGAAGATTGGCATATTATTGAAATACTGGTTTCTTCTGCACGCTATATCTCTGTAATAGGGGGGCCGATCTGGGCGAGGCATGTCTTTCCGTGATCGGGAGAGTCCTGCCAATCGACTGAATTCGGAATGAAGGACATCCATTTTTTCACGATTTTCGAAAAAAATCATGATGGTTACATCATTAAATTTTGCAAAAATCGGCCTCATTTTCGAAGTCGAGATTTTGACACCGATCGACAGTCTGGATCCTCGCGATCATAGGAGAGTTGTCCCTTCACCGATCTGGCCCTAATTGTCTGAGATATAACC